AACATCTAATCGTTTTTGGGTGAACCATTTTTAACACGCACAACTTTTACCAAGTTTTGCTGGGGCGTTGGCCAATCAAAACATAACATGTAATTATCAGTAATTGGTATTAATAACATTTAGCAGAAAATTTAATGTGGAAAAACATGCAGCATCATTTCAAAATGTATACATTTTCCTGTGGAGCCCAGGATCAAATGATCCACTGGTTGGGATCGCTCCTAGGCCCGGTGGTCCCCTGAACCAGAACAGGTATTAACCACTCAGCTTTATTTATTTGTATAGCACGTTTAAAACAACCAAAGTGTTGAGCAATGTTTAAGCAAGTACATAAAAGGCAAATTAAAAAACTGTCAAAGTAAAAAAAATAAATAGCAATGAGTAATAACAGAATCAACAATGCAGGTATTATCGCCGAGTGTGTGTTTTAAATGTTTCAGGAGGTTTTGAATGGTAAAGAAGGGAGTTTGGAGCAGAAATGGTCAGAAACTCCTCCCATAACGCCGCCGTCTCCTTTTCATGGAGAGCTAAATCAGCACCATCTCCGAAAGCTACACCCTGTTGGTGTCTCAGTGCCACAAACACAACTCACGACAGAGGGAGTGTAGGTGTTCGCATGTGTGTCCATGTTTTCTGCATGCCGATGTGTGTGTGTGTGTGTGTGTGTGTGTTATCACAGTCCTCCAGAATACCCTTTGGAAAGTCTTCATGCCGCTGACACAGGCTGTGAAAAATCTGGAAATGAGTGCTGCCCTAATGCCACTGCCTTAATTTGTTATCTGAAAAGAGAATGATTACTCATGAAATTCAACCAAACCTTACACTATTTGAACCAAGCCAGATAACGAGCTCTCTCTCTCTCTCTTGGTAGCGGCAGCTCCCTGGCAGCTCTCTGCTACTCCCGTCTCTAAGGATTTGGAGGAAAGTTGGGGGCTGCCTCTCTTCCTCAAGTCGCTGGCTTTAAACTCTGCTTGTTTGAACACGGCGCGGAACCAAGTCCCAGAGAAATGGCCGTGGACAGCGCCACCTTCCCAGTACAGACTGGGGACTGGTAGACAAGAGCAGAAACAGAGGGAAGGAGTGAAGCCTCCCTGCACCTCATTAAAACACACACACACTCTCTGCGGGGAATTGACACAGAATCCATACGTTTCACAGAATTTTCACTCACTTGACTCTTTTTAAGTCTTTAAGTCAAGAAGATGTGCAGAGCAAAGCGCCGTCGTGGGGTGGAGGAGCTGAGCGCAGCAGAGTTGAGCCACAAGAGGAGGAGGAGGAGGGGGAGATATGCAGCGAGCAGATCTGCTCCTTCAATCTGTCTTCCTGCAGGGTGCCCTAATCAAAGGCACCCAGGCCCGTCTGTGGCACCCAGAGCAAACGGGCCGGCTCTGTCATTAAAGCCAGGGAACACAGCGGTGGGCATCACTACACCAGTGGCCCCCAAGGATTAGACGCTCTGTTTACACCCCACTAATCTCATGCCGCTGTCCTCCCTGAGAAGAGATGGCTGGATATGGGGTGGGGAGTCGGAGGGTGTGGATGCAGAGAGAGAAAATGGAGGAGAGCAGGGAAAAGCAAGGCAAGCTCTCATCTCTCCTCGGCCACCATCGCTGGGCTCTTTCTCACAGCGGGCGAGCAGATGAAACGAAATCAAATGCGAAATGAAGAGAGAAGGGAGACAGTGAAGGATCGAGCTGAGGAGTGGCACACAGTGTCTGTCGGAGGGGGAGGAATGAGGAGGAGGCTGCACCTCCTGCCAAGCACCCCCCCCCCCCCCCCCCCTCTTACTTTAAACTCTCCTGCGTGTCAGCCATTACTGTAAGTGCAGGAAATAACCATGGAGCAGTTGGAGAGCGTCACACAAATCTTCAAATCAAACATTGCTACATTACAAGCCGATGATAATGCGCCATCGCGCTGCACGTGCTGCCTCGGCACTTTTCTGCTGCCAAATATTCATGGCTGTGCAGTCATTTTGAGGCCGGGAAAATGGAAGTATTAGCAGTGTTCTTTATGAGTGACCTAGATCCCTCTCGGGGGGCTATGGCCTCGCCGTGACCCCCCCTCAGCAGGTGTCCTCATGCTGGAGGAGGAAAGACAGTCTGAAGGTCTTATTTTTTTATCTTTACCACCATTATCGAGCTGAAAAACCTCCACAAGCCTTCACCCTTTCATCTAAAGCGCACGATGCAAGTCGAAACGTTTTCCGCCAGAAAAGCTTTTCACAAGAATTAAATGTATAATTTAGATTTTGTCCACAAGCTACCAGCAGAGGCTTGATTTCTACTAACTGTGACAACTATGTAAACACATGCACTCTCACGATGAGGCGGGAAACAGGGCTATCATGTCCTGATGTAGGCCATTGCATCTGGTTGTCCACGGAGAGATAATTAACAGATCTGACTGGACGGTCATTAGCTGCTGGGGGGAAGCGTCTCTGAGGCCAAAAGGGGTGAAGGGCGTGCCCGGCTGTCAGAGTGCCTGAATCATTCCTGAGGACAGCATGTCAAGTCTTCTGCACGTAAATAAAATCAAACATCTCCGGTTGTTTAGGAAAGAACTCCAAATGCGTCCTCAGACGTTTGGAGAAGAGCTCCCCTCCTCTACCAAACACTGGACATCAAAGCCATCCATTATTTCCCACTGCCAACACGGAGCGTTTATGAAGATTGTTTTTATGAAGCTTCTCTGATTGGTATTTTTTTTTACTACAAGGTGAGATCTGAGACAGAGGAACCAGATCTGTTTACACCGAATGTGCAAGAGGAAGAAGATCCATCACTGGTTCTGGTGGAGGGGGCTCTCTCTAAGGCGCAGTGTGAAACTTTTAAATGCAACTTGAGTTGACATAATAAAGCAGCAATATGGTCGGCAGTAGAGACAATTAAAAATGCATATTACAATAATACAGATGGGACCCCATGTGCATGGTAAATTATGCAGAAAATAATTTTCTGACGTCTCTTGAAACAATCTGTTTGTACACCTTGTTTAAAACCATGTGTAAAAACATTCTATTATGATTTATGTGTTGCTTGATTAAAGGTACAAGAGCTGTGTTTTTACCCCTAACTTTAACCCTTTGATGCATAATGGTCACTACAGTGGACAGGTACTCAAAATTGTTATTTATTTGTTTTTGCTATTAAGCTCAGCTGTTGAAGACTTTATTGCATTTGAGCCCCTCCATTTGGACTTCAGTAAGCCAAGCCAACATGTTTCATGTTCAGAATGCATGCTGTCCACTGAGGTGGACATGTAATAAATTATTTGTAAATTATAAAATTTTACAAAAAATATTTGTTGAAATTTGTTTCATTCACACCTAAAGACGAATGAAAAAAAATATTTAAAAAATCATGGTTGGTGATTTCAAAATTCATGCATCAAAGGGTTAATATTAGATGCAGCAGGGGCGGAACAAATAGGGGAATGTGGTGGAACGGTTCCTGTTCGGTGGTGTCGCGGTTTTAGAACGGTACAAACACACGTCAGAACTCTGCAGGTCTGCTCTCTCCCAGAACCTGTTGGGGCAACAGTTCGAGACCTCTTGTGTGACTGAGCCTCTTTTAACACAGCAACGCTAAAACTGATTTGTAAAATTAGACAAAGGGGGATGTAATCATCATGTCAAGCTTTTCATTAAACCGGGGGTATGCAACCCGGGTCCTAGAGAGCCACAGTCCTGCATGTTTTCCAGCCATGTATGAACTTGCAGCTTCTGTATGGCTGACGGCACCTGATCCAGGTAATCAACAGCAGAAACAACAAAGATAGCTGGAAAACAAGCAAGACTGTGGCTCTCTAGGACCCGAGTGGCTTACCCCTGCACTAAACAAATAACTAAAGGCATCCCGATGCTTCATTCACACCAAGAACAGAACGGATATGGTCCGATTTCCGTACGGCTTCCAGACAAACTTCCACTGACTCTAGCTGCGGTTCATGGACAGAATGTCTGGTGAAATTTGCTCCTGCGAAGGCACCAAAAATTTAACATAACATGTACAGCGATACACCGATAAAAATAATGTGAAATATTATATACTGTGAACTGATATCCCCCTAATTATTAAAGGGGAACTTGGCAGTTTTGGCCTGCTCTTAGCACCCCCTTGTGGCCGTTTATAGACCTGAAAGCAAAACCTAGCTCCTGGCTGTGCATTTGTCTTTTTAACACCTTAAACTAACAGCTAAAATGCCTCCCCAGCCTTCATTAGAGTCTACAGGAGTGATTCATCATTAAATTAAACAAATCAGCTGTGTCCATGCAGGAAACATGCTGGAAGCAGACTGCAGCGCCAGGTATGTCAGTTCCATCTTTTCAAAGTAGCAACAGAGCAGCCAGCCAGTGTAAAGCTGCAAGTGGAATATTCTGGCCACAGGGGGCGGTAGGGGCTGGGTGGCCTGTAATTAACCCTGTAAAGGGTCATTTTAGCACATACTGGCTCAAGAAAATTATTTACAATATGAAAAAGTTGCAAAATATCCTTTTGATAAAATAAAACATGTTTTTTTTAAACATACTTGATGCACCTTGCTGAAACATGTCTCATTTCCTGTCTAGCTCGTGTAATTAATGCACATGCAGCATCTAGAAACTCCATGCGGACACTTTCCCGAGCTCTGCATTTGCATCTGCACCGCAGCCGGTGTGAACACTCTGATTGGACTCAATGATTTTTGGTCTTTGAGAAAGTTGTCTGAAAACCGGGTTGCATCTGCTCTGTACTCGGTGTGAAACAGGCATACGTGTGGGGACAGATCACTCAGAATCATTCATAACTCATATGCAGGTAGAGACAAAGCACATAGTAAACATGTTCATATACTTTTACACTCAATGGGTAAACTTTTGTTAAGGAGACAAATTGCAAAAGCACACTTCATTAAAAACATGGTGTTCAAAGGGTATAATAATGATGATAAAAAGAATGTTTTTTTACTTGCTGACAGCGTGTTGAGAACAGTGTTTGCAGGTGATGAAGGGCACTGACCGGTGCGGTCGTGGTGGCGGTGATAGTGGGCGTGCTGTTGTCAGTGCCGGTCGGCTCGCTGTGCGTCTGTGTGGGCGTATACAGGGTCATGGCGTGCTCAGGAACCCGGCTTTGCCCGCTGTAGTCCTGCGTTGGAAGTGGGTGCGGTGCCGCAAATTCTGCCGGGATGCCATTCTGTGGGGGAGGTGGGTACTGGGCTGGGGTGTACGGCTGGGCCATCGCTTCTGGGGGGTTGGTGGCCTCTTGGTTACCCTGTGAGAAACACACAATGAGAGAGGACGGTCACAACCGCGGCCGGAACAAGGATGAGGCACATTGTTTGACTCGTACAAGCAGCATGAAAGGCATGCGAGCTTCCTCCTGAGACCGAGGAAGCAACCTAGGGAGCGTTGTCCTGCAAAGTATATGAGTCAGGGGGAAACAGCCATCAAATCCCGCCTCAGCTCACATTAGAGAAGTCCTTGATCATTGCTAATGAACATAGTTTATGTTGTAGAGCATGCCTTGCAGTCGGAGGGCCGAGAGTCAGGGGGAATCTCAATTGCACTTGTGGCAAAGCACAAGAGGAAAGATCAATTAATTGATAAAATTTTGATTAAGGTCTTTGATTTCTGTGACAGGTCTGTTAAACTAGCAGCTGCTCCCTCACTAAGCTCTACATTCATACTCCCAGCAGCCTCTCTCTCTCTGTGTGAACCTCCACACCATGCTGCTCCCGTTTCCATCTCAGGTTATTATTTTAATCTCACTGATACAACTCGTTTTTTAATTTATTTTTTAATCTTGCGTCTAAAAATACGAGCGATTTGAGGACAAAGACAAATGTAACAAAAACATTCTGTTTTATTTTAGTCAATTCTCACTGGAGACATGTTTCAAAAAGCGCTGAAGCCTTCCTGCTTCTCCCATATGCTGCCAGAGCTCCCAGTATGTGGTTTCTGCAGCAGGTTTTTTGTCTCTGCTCTTGACTTAAGTGATAGATGGGCCCTTGCACTGAAGCTGTTTCACAAACCCTTTGTCTCGTGTGGATGCTTGGGATGATGAGCTGCAGGAATAATGGACTTTTCTGGCTGGTGCACATTGTTAAACTCAGTAATGGCTGGACTACAGAAGTGCATGTCTTATTGTTGCGAGGCACTAGTCTCTGTGAATCCGGCCTAATGAGCAGAACAGTGAGATCAGTGCTGCTGGAGCGGATATCCATCCCGGCATTAAAAACACTGGGAGAAAAGGTGAGACAATAACACCGCAATCCAATAACACCCCCTGCAAATACCCTCAATCAAATTTAAAGATACAGATCATGTGAGCGCGACGCATAACTCTGTGGATAAGAGAGGAGAAGGAGAAGAAAAGAGCACAATAGCAGCCAGAAGTGAGGGTTTATGAGTGGAGGAAAACAATAACAGTAAACAGATGGAGAAGTTCCCGTCTCCTCCTTTACAAGCTAGCTGGGGATGGTGAGATAGTAGATAAATGTGTTTTATTCCTCTCTTCTTTATTTTGCTGCAGCGGTGTTTGGCCTCTGCCTGCAGATTTCCACAGAACGCTCTATCTGGGCAGGAGGTTTTTAATGAGAGGAAGCCGAGCAGCACTATGCTGTAAATGTAGTGGAAATAATTCTACTCTGACGTGTTGGCAAACAAACCCGGCCCAAACTGCGCAGTGCGCACTGCCAATTAACGAAATGCTCCATTATCTAAATGAAAAAAAAAAGAGCGGAGCCCTGAGAGGGGCTGACCCGCCTCCTGCAAGAGAACTGGACCCTCACTCCTGCCTGACCTAATCTAACCCCCCCCCCCCCCCTCTGCGCCTTTTATTATGCTGCGTTTCGTCTACCTCAATCCCTCCCCCTTCTTCTCTTTTACGCTGCTCTTTTCCTCCCTCCTCTCTTTTTATGCAGAAACTTTTTTAATCTCTACCCCTGTGCTCCACTTTTTCTCTCCCTCCAGTCATGGCATTATATAACACACTTGCAGTATCCTAATTCAAGGAAGCTCTTGATGTTGGAAAATTTCAACTTCTAAGGACCCATTTTAAAAGAAAAATTATGTTTGTTACCTGGGAAAAAAAACAAAACAAAAAGACAAAAATTGTGCACCTCCTGGTACGAGTGGCTCAAAGTACCACCGGATCCCGCATCCTCCTTTAAACCTGCCCAAGCCGGCCGTCAACACATCAACGGTCCAGCGGAGGAAGAGAGCTCAGCATCCCGGAAACAGGAAGGTGCTGCGTTTGTACATCAAACACTCCTCACGCTGTTAAAGCGATCAAAGCTTCACTTACGTCTTTTATTTGTCAAAACACCCGCCTGTAAACTCTGTCAGTGTTTCTGAAGAACTTAAAGAGAAGCGTGTGTGCACCTATGTGTAGGTGACAGTATGTCCGATTCAAGTTTTAGATTAAAAATACACGTGTTAGCACGTACAGGGCACTTTACAAAAATAAAATCATCTGATCACGGTTTGTTGAGTTCTTACAACATGTGACAAATATGGGACACTACCAACAGCTGTCACAAAGACGATAGTTTTAAGTCTATATAATTGTGTTTCTCTGGTTTAATCCTGGACCTGTTATAGTCCGCTGCAAACTCCTCATTAGCTCAAAATGAGAGCCCTGAATTGGCACAGGATGTGTCCTAATACAAGCACTGCATTTGCCTCTGCAAAAATCATTTTAACCTCATCGTGTGAAGCTACAACGCATGCTATCAAATGTTAGCGCTGTGCTACATGGGTCTGTGATGAAGTCAGAGTTGTAAAAGAATCAGATTCATCTTGCTGATGCTACCGCGTGTCTGCCAAGCAAACAGGTGAGCTCCACTATCAGCTGATCAATACAGCAAGAAAAATAATCATCTACATGCTGAAAACAAAATTACATTTTAGAAATATGGCTGTTCTTGGACGCCATTAATAACAATTAGATGCCAATCGAGCAGAGTGGTACACAAAGGCGTGTCCGGGCAACTAGAAACCAAATTACATGTGGCTTAAACCATTTAAGTCGTAATAAGAATGACAGAGTAAGACCCAAAAGTACAATCCTGAAAATGCATCGGAACAAATTCACTGTGAGCGTATTGGAGTTCTGTTTTTCTGCTGAAAATAAGAAATAAAAGTTAAATCCTGAAACGCCTCAGCTTTTAAATGTTTATTTCACCGTTTATGAAGCTGCTAGCTTTGCCTCCTTGTTTATTTGTTTGACTCTTCGCATGTTTAGAGCTCTGTGAAGCAGCATCCTGCCTGAAACATCCTGTAAACAGCCAGGAGCCTCCAAACGTTGGTTCCTAGGTCAGTTTGACTCGTAGAGCTCACAGGGCTCACTAGATTTTGACTCGGGTCTTAAACAAGGACAAAGGGCTGAGACCGAGCCCAGTGACACACAAACAGCATCCCTGCCTGGAGCTTGGTATCGATGAAAGGAAACTTCTAAAGTGCTCCAGCACCATGTCGCTGCTGTTTCAAAGGGCAGCACGGCACAAGCAGGGAGGCGGAGAGTACAGGCCTCATTAGCGAAACACAAAGTAACCCTGGCTCTCGTATGATCTTCGCCTTCCTCTGATGTATGTGACAAACGAGTTATTCAACTGGAAATGAACTGGGAGAAGAAATAAAAAAAGCCCATGCAAATCAGGCGAGCTACGCTAGTCCCAGTGCCACCACACGCCCTTTTTACTGGGCCGACTCGGCCCAGCAACAGTCCTCGGTGCCTAATGAAAAGCCCTCTGACAAACGGGTCAGGTGCTCTCTACTGCAGAGAGAATGCTGTTCACTACAGCCCGACGAGTTGGCATTACTCTGGCAGTCTACCTGCAGACCTGTTTATGAGAAAGAAGCAAGTCCCTTTGCGACACTTCAATGTCCTCCTTACATGGCCTGCAGCCCCGAGCTGCCTCAGCCTCATCCTCACGGCACGTTGACGAAGAGTAAAGGCAACCAGAGTGAGCCGCCCTTATTGAGCTCCCATACTTTCCCCTCCTTTCCTCAATCTCTCCCGTTACCCGTCCCGTGCTTCTCTTACTGAAGAGCACAATAAAAACACTATCTCTAATCTCAAGCACTCTCCCTGTCTAAAATTGGATTGGAAGCCCCTTACTTAAGGAGATCACTTCTGGAATGTAGTTTATGATTTTACAGTCTGGATTAGGAGTCAGAGAGGCCAGAGAGGCGCTGCATCGATGCCCACCACCAAGAGGGCCAGTCTCCGCTCTCACCGGCATTAACGTCAGCGTTGATGGTCGAGGCTCTCCTCCATCTCAGCAGATGCAACATCTTGGCCACTCTCCAGCAAATTCCTGATCCTTTTTAGCACGGCTTAAAAGTGTGTGTGTGTGTGTGGGGGGGGGGGGGGGGGGGGGGGGTAGAGCAGCACGTATGCAGGAGTTGCTACGAGGAACTCATACCAGCAGAGTGCTGCACTGACTCGTTTCTGCTATGGAGGGTCAAAGAGCGACGCAAAGGCAAAGTACAGCCGGCGACTGATTGCATTGCATGGAATCTGGAGGGAAATCACTCAAATGGGAGCGGGCTGATCAATCTTAGCAATAAGAATGGTGATGGAGTGGGCAGCTTTATAGCTGCAGCATGCGCACTAGCAAGTCGGATCATTTTTCAGCAAAGAGGCCACTGTACCCAATGCCCTGCCTGCCGTACGGCTCTGAGCATACATTAAGCCGCACTACAGCTTGTGTGTGTGTGTGTGTGTGTGTGTGTGTGTGTGTGTGTGTGTGTGTGTGTGTGTGTGTGTGTGTGTGTGTGTGTGTGTGTGTGTGTGTAATCCAAACACACTGAGTCACTGTCACATGCTTTCATGGAAAACACACACACAGGCAACTTCCTTTGTCAAATTACACATGCCACATTTTCTTAAGTGAACTTTAAGCTGTTTGACGCCTGAAAATTGTTCTCGTCTGATCCGAAGGCTCCAGAACAACGCTCATTTGGTTTTAATGACCAGCTGACAGTGATGGTGGCAAGCTGGTGACGAATCCCGCAGGGCCCTAGCAGCTCCAACCTGTGAAAAGCAGCTCAGCGGAGGCCGACGCACGGCAATCAGTTGATGCAACACAAACGAAACAGTGAGCGGTTTTCAGCCAACAACATGAAAGCCTCTTGTTGTCCCCGGCTCTGGTGCTGATGCTCGGTTAATTGTAGCCCCGCGCGCAGACAGTCGGGCAAAGAGACGCGGCCTGGAATGATTTCTGCAGGCAACTGGCATTCATTTAGTCTTGAAGGCACATAAATAAA